AATGCTCCTAATGCCAAGGTCACCTCTGCAGGTGCCCAGTGAAGCAGGTAGCGAGTGCCACCTGCTGAAACATGTCCCATGCTATTCAGTGGCTTCAAAACTCCTGCTTAAATACCCCTTTTCATTATGAATACCCTCCTCAGGGCCGAAGAAATTATAGCTCATTATCTTGCCTAATTTGCATGCTTACTAATTATCTACCTCAATATAAAGCATCAGAATCCAAATGTTTCGCAGTAAACAATGATTTAAGTCTGGAATAAACAACTTCCCTTTCTCTCATCAATGTGATTCTCTATCTCATTGCCAGACCCAAGCTGGAGAGAAAAATCCATTTAGGACAGCAGAACTAGAGGTGGGGTGGAGGCTCTTTTATCTCCTACGGCTTTGAGCCAGGAAGGAGGCATTTAGACAAAGAAGACAAAAGTCACACAATAAAAATACCTTTTGGCTGCAAACTGCAAATTTAAAACACTCTATTTCCTGGATATTTTTCTTGCCGGTAGCTTCGCTCATCCAGCTCTTTGGTCCTGAAAGTTGCGGAACTTGAAGGCGAGGGGATGGTTTGCTGGTTTGGCTGAGGCGTTAAAGGGGTTGCAGGTCAGAAGAGGCGGAGCACAGGAAGGAAAATGCCCACTGTGCTCCTGCACTGGGCCTGCGTCTTGGAGCTCAGCATCCGCCTTCTCCACTCCAGCCGCCCACTCTGCAGCAGTCGGAAGTGAAATCACTCTTCAGCACTCATGGCCACTCATGCTCACAGCAGCACGTGTTGTCCTGCCACTGTGTCTCTGGCTCTCATTGCTGCTCGGCAGTTTCTTATTTGTCTTCATTTCTTTTTTAATTCTCCACTGTAGATATTTGAAATATGATGCTCCTTGATCTAAGGGTGGGTGCATGTGTCAATAAACCCATCGCAAGCCAGAAATGCATGACAGCCCCTCGTCTAAAGGACACTGCAGCATGTGGGCTTTGCCTCAGCTCTCGGGACAGGGTGGAGGCTGCGCTTGCTGCCTCTGTCCAGCTCCAGAGAGAGGACTGGACACCGCTAGCCAGGAAAAAACCCAGCTCACAATTCCAAGTACTGTTTCTACTGAATGCATCTCACCTTTGCTCAAGCATATCATCAGATCTGTAAGTTAGAGACCATTTCAGGCACCGTTAAAATGCTAAACTGGCGGATTCATTTCCAAGGGCAGTTGTAACAAATCACCATTCTCTGGGTGGCTTGGGCAGTGGCAATGCCTCGCCTCACAGCTCTGCAGGACGAGGCCGAAATCACAGTGTCAGCGGGGTTAGTTCCTCCAGAGGCTCTGAGGCAGAATCTGTTCTAAGCTTCTCCCAGCTTCTGGCAGCTGCCAGCGACCCCTGGCATCTGTGACCCTTCGAATGCACCCTTCCTGTGTCTGCCTCTGTGTCCACAAGGCCTTCTTTCCTGTGTGTCTCCCAAGGACAACAGCCACTGGGTCGGCACCCAACCTGACCCAGGGCGACCTCATCCAATACAAACACGTCTCAACGTGGTCACAGCTGCAGAGTCCCAGTTTCCCAGAAAGGACCCGAGACAGATTCCAGGGGTGAAGATTCGAACATATCTTTTGGGGAGGACACAACTCCACCCCCCTAACATTGGGATCTGTCAATTTAGAAAGCATTTAATAGATTTCAGCTTCCTTTTTACTAAGTCATTATTCAAGCTGTATACTTTTCGTCAGATAATTTGCATTATCTCCTTAGAGAGAAATCTACTAAGCTCACTTCCTCCGCCTCCGCTGCGTCACTATCCTCTCTTCCCTGTTGCCACGGCTGACCCCCTTTCTCTGTCTCTCCTCTGTCTCTAACTTCCCAAGCGTCCTGAAAACTGACTTGATGCCAGATTAAAACCCACCCAAGGTGCCCACTGCCTCCGGGATCCTCATTCCTATAGGAACTGCTTCTGTCCAGTCCATGTCCTATTTAGAAGCCGTCCTCCTGTCCCTGAAGAGGGGAACATCTCTGTCGGCTTTCCCAAAGTGTGAGAAATCCCCATAGTCCTTGACCATGACTCTTCTACTGGGGGGCTGCTGAGAAGATCAAGGTCGTGTTTTGTGCCCATGGAGAACATGTTAGAAAGGCCCTCTCCTCCTTGAAGCATCCTGGCACCCCATGGATTTTCATGCTATTTCTCGGACCTTTTCCCAGGGACCCTTGACTAACACGGATCGAATGCCAAGGCTTCCCAAGCTTCTGATGAGCCTGTCCCCTACTTCACAAGCATTTGGGCTGCAGAGATGGACATCCAGATAAAATTTTAAGTAGCTTGCTGTGGGTCCTGCAGGTCATGGACGTGTCCCAAGAAGGTGAGAAGGACCAAGCCTACTAGCCATTCCGTAGGAAGGTTTTGGATGGAGGCATCCTTGAGGTATCAGAATGAGTAGGGACAAAGGAAACTGAAACCATTTAACTCACTTTTGTCCCTCCTAGATGTAACTTAGTTCAATGAGCTTGACAATGGTCCCAAAAAGAATTCTAAAATGTGCTATGAAGCAATTAATGAATCCCAAACAATAAGTCAAAGAAAGAATTGCTAAGCCTATTCATGCTCTTCTGTGGTGGGTTCCTGGGGCCTTCAAAAAAGGGGAGGAAGTGGCCAGACTTGCTGATCCCCCTCCTGGGGTGTTCCATGATGTCTCCAGCCTCTTTGGAATATGTGCAATCCTGGGGAACTCATCACCTCCCAAGGCAGGTTCCTGTGTCTTTCAGCTGCTCAGACTGCAAGGAAATTTCTCTTTTTTCCTCTTTGCCCAAACCACATACACTGAGACTTTTTACTTCTTGTGTCCATCAGTTCAAGTATTTACAAGCCCATTCTGTGGAAGCCATCACCATCCATACCTCAACACTGAGCTTCTCCCCATTCAGCCTGGCTTCATGATGATTAGTGGTGCTGGCAGCTGAATCTCTCCATGGTTCCCTGCTCACAGTTAACACTCCAGTAGCTTTTACTAGTAGTGGTAGATGAGTCACAGCTGCTATATTAATCAGATTTCCGTTGCTAAAACAAAATACCTGACATATACAACTTAAGGGGAAAAGGCTTGTTTTGGCTCATGGTTCAGAGGGTTCCATCTATGGGTGGCTAATTCCAAGGCAGAAACATCATGGCAGAAGGTGATGGTAGAGGAAAAATGCTCACCTCCTGGCAGCCAGGAGCAAAGACAGAGAAATAGAGAGAGGAAGAGAGAAAAAGGAAGAAAAACATACCCAAGGAGGAAAATATGTCCTTCTAGGTCCCGCCTCCCCTGTGACCTACTTCGTTCAACCAGGACCTTCCTTATAAAGCTACAAACGCATTAATGGATTAATCCATTGATGATATTTGCATCCCCATGACCTAAGAAGCTTCCAAAAGCCCCACTTCTGAACACATGGGCCTTTGAGGGGACATTTTCTGATCCAGAATACAATATCGTGGCTTCATTTGTACCATTGGACTTCTCATTCAGGGGCTGATGTTATCGATGTTGAGCTTTCTCATATTCAGTCCAGTTTCCTTTTTATTAGTTATTAATTACCACCGTGCTCCGGCATCATCTGCAGGACTTTCTCCAAATGCAGAAGTCTAGTCATCTAAAACCCAAGGACAGAGGGACCATTTTCTCCACGTGGAGAATCTGGAGCTCAGAACTACACAACAGCCTGAGAAAGAAGAGCGAGTACAATGTGCAGAAGGCTCTCCAGTCCGGGGTGAACCACAGCTTTATTGCTGTTATTATAACCCTGTTATCATCCTCAACCTGGTGCATTCCAAAAGAGCACGGGTCATCAAGATTAAAAGGCAGATAACAAACCAGGGAGCAATATTTGCAATAATTATAGGAGACAATGAGATAATATTTTAATACAGAGTTCATAAATGTCAATAAGAACTGTAGAAATTTCCTGGCATAAACACGCTAATGATTAGTTACAAAAAGAGAAACTGAAGTGATGAATAAGTGGGGAAGCAAGGTCATGATATGCCTATAATCAGAGAGCTGAAAGCTAAGATAATGCTGAGGTCATTTCAGACTTATGTTATTTTTTATTTTGTTCAATGCTGTCTGAAGCACAAGGAAGGAGACCCTTGCAAACTGCTAGTGAACTAACAATGATTCCCCCTTTGTGGATGCATTATAAAGCAAAATGACATTCCAAAAATATGCATGCCTCTACATATTAATTTTAACTAGGTTTAATGGTATTTTTAGTAATAAAAATAGAAATAACCTACACGTCCAGCATTCGGTGGGTGTAAATTATGGCTGTCTCCAGCAGAAAGTTTCTTGATCCCTACCTTCCCTGCAAGCCCTCAGGCTTTCCAGATCAAATCCCCACTGTCTGGTGACCACGTCACATGGTCGTTGCCTACCTCTGTGTCTGGTTTCCTCTTCTCTCTGAATTCTCTGTGGCAAGGATGCTTCATTGACCCATCTATATTCAACAAATATCCAATGTTCAATATTCAAAAAATGTTTATTAAATGAATGTGAACAGAGTATGTATGGAATACCCTGTACTCCTAAGATAATACTGATAGCATGTCATACAGTTTAAAAATTCTTACATAATAAAGACAAGTAGAAAAAGGCAACATGTATTTACTCCTACATTCACAACGATAAGAAAGCTCACATTTATTAAGTGCCTTCTATGTTAACTGCAATATGTAGGTATGTATAGTATATTTATAGTCTTTTAATCTTTATATTGATTCTTTAGGGTTCCATCCATATTTTTATTTTAAAGCAGGTAACATTTTAATCCCTTTTACTGATTAACTTGGGCCACTAAGAAACTCAACCAAGATGGCACCAGCAGGAAGTCCAGTGGGGCTCCCACCCAGGCTGCCTGGTCCTGGGAGCTGACCCCCTGAAAACCTCACTTGGGCAAAAGAAAGTCATCAAAAGCTGTACTAAAAATGTATTGCACAAAACTCACTAAACTATTAATCATGGTCAGTTTTGCCTGGTAGGACTATAAGGGATTCATTTTCCTGTATTATCAATTTTCTATGTTAGCCTCAAACGACATTCACAATGGGAAGAAAACAATAAATATTTTGAAAAAGAGAAGATTGGTGACAAATAAATGGACATGTATTCATGACAAAATAAAAATCTTACTTAAAATGTCCCCGAGGGTTCAGTTTTGCTGAAGTCTTAGAAGAGCTTATCCATGAACCAGAGCTGGAGTGTCTTGCTGGCAGCTCACCCGTGTAAGCAGGACACAAGCAGAACGGGGCAGTCAGAGCCAGGCAGCTTACCCAGAAACCAAGTCGTCTAGAATGCAACCAAGCACGACAGTCCCTGCCATGGTCAATTGATTGTGTCAACTTGAGAAGAGAAGCTCAACTAAATTGGCTCAGCAATTCCACACCCTAGGGAAGACTCACCCTCAGGGGTTTGTCACCTGGGTGGTACAAAAATGAAGAAGGAGGGATCTGCTTCTGTTTCTTCAGAGCAGCTCCAGTCTTTGCCTTCATCTTGAACGTCATCTTCTGGCCGCCAGCGCAGACCCTTCACCCTTCCATGCAGACCCATCGGCCCCCTGATAAGGACACGCAGGGGACTCTGCAGTGAGCTCCAGAACTTCGACTGAATCCCTTGCTCTCCAGTGTGCAGATGCACCTTCTGGACTCTTCCACATCCGACTCTGTGGGCGGCCATTGTAAGCCAATCTTATAATTTCTTATATGTCTGTATATCTTGTGTCATATCTGTCTCCCTAGTAAACACTGACTGATACGGTCCATTTGACCACAGATTCCACAACTGCATATTCAACCAACCTCAGATTGAAGGTATTTAAAAAATGTATGTACAGACGTTTTCTTATCATTACTCTTGAAATGGTACAGTACAGTAACTGTTTCCATAGCACTTGTATTAGGGATTATATGTCTCTATAGAGGATTTAAAGTACATGGGGAGATGTGTGTAGGTTATGTCCATCCATCAGGCTGGGGAGGGGGTGACTTTGGGTCAGCTGGACACAGCTTCACAGACTCCAGCATGGCCAAGCACTTACTCACCCTGGCAGGAGCAGTCCTGTCAGCGTTTCACTGTAAGTTGCCACTAATTTCAAGCTGATGCTGATGAAATGAGACACTGAGACAGGCTAATAGTTTCCGGCCCCATGCTGGTGGCAGCTGAAATGTTTATTTTCCTAGCTGAGGCATTGATCCCACAGCCAGGGGTCAATTACAGAGACTTCCAAGTGAACTATGACTAATTTAAAATATTTTCCAAAAACATAGTTGGGTTTCACTGTAATGTGCTAAACAGGCAGAGAGTCTTTTTCAAGCACTATGAATTCTCAGTAGGGCAGCAACCCTAAATGCTGTTCATTTCAGGCAAACAGAGAAACAAGGACATATTTCTGGTACACGTCACTCGCTTCAGCCAGGCCCTGGGATTCAGAAAAGTGGAAATACACAGCGATTCATTCGTCGACTTTCAGTATTGAGATTCAGAAAACAACCAGGATTAAAGAAAGGATCGTTACAAAGGGCACTTTTCAAACATCTAGGTTTTCCCAGTGAGATACTGAGGCAGGAGAAGAAAGGGAGGGTCCAGCGCCTCGAAGCCTGCTTTCTGGGCTAGAGCTGAGGTATCTGGTTACCATGGAAACATCTGGGAAAAACAGAAGGGTCCTCCACGAAGCCTACTTTCTAGGCTAGATCCACCTTCCCAGATAAGTGTTAGCCTCAGTCCGCATGCCCCTGTCTGAACACAAGGGGAAAATATAGCCAGATAACTTAGCTTATACTCAGCGAGTCCTCCGAGATGCACCAGAGTCTTCTGCAGCATTTGGGGGGACGCCATCCCAAGTACCATGTCACTGACTATGCAGATTTGAGCCCCGGAGGCTTTGGGCTCCAGGACAGCTCCTCCAAGGTCCATAACAGGCTGAGTCAAGTCACTCACACTTCAGACCAACCCTCAATCCCACCCCAAACCCTGAACCCCAAAACCCTCAACACCAAGCCCCTCAGGGCTGTGAGTCCGGAGGATCTGCCTTTCACAGGCCACTCCCACCCACCTGTGGAGTGGATCTTGCCTTTTCTCTTTCAAATCAACCATTGATCCTCCTGCTGCTCTCCGTATGCCGCTCAATTCTTGGTTTAGGACACCAGGGACCTGGACAAGCCCCCAACCTGGCAATGACACTTAAGGCAAGGCATTTGTCATCAATTAGGGATTAAAGTCATCCAGAGGGCATGGGTTTGAGAAATCATCAATCACTGTCACAGCTGACTGAAAATCGGTATGCGAATAAGCGTTTCATGCTCCTAAAATGGATATTTAAAAATCTCTTCCAGCTGACTCCCACAGCATTTTCCTATAGCCACAAACCTACAACGCTGACCCCAGCTGGGCCCCCCGAACTCTGTGAGGAAGCTACAAGACACCCATTTCTTTGCACATCTCGCAGCCCACTGAACGCGGACAAAGTGTGTGTGATTGGCCACGTCCTGAATACTCTGGCTTCTAATCATCTTCTCTCTTTCTAGCATATGATTCCAGCAAATGGGCCCAGGAGACTTTAACCCTAAGTTACAAGTACTTATTCACCTGTGATGTCCTCAGATTGGACCTTCTTTCCTAGTAGTGTTTTTAATATATTTTTAAAATTAGTATGATTGTGATATATAATAATTCTATTCATCTGGGAAATTTGTACATGGACACATCCCATATCACTCATTTTTATTTCTCCCTTTTCTGCCCAGTCTTCAGTCTCCAGATCCCCTTCCCATCTGCACAACTTCCTAAAGAAATTTTAAAATTTATTGCAACAAATTTTACATTTCCCTTCTGTTTCAAAAGGCCAGACCAGACTATTTGCACAACTCATCAACTGATCGCCAGACCCCGTTTTTAATCAACAAAGCTCTCTTGGCCAGTATTAGAAGCCAGAACATCTACAATCAGAACATCTTAACCAATGTCAGACGCCAGCCATCCTCCGCCCCATGGAACCCGGGTGTGGGTGAGCACTAGGCCCGTGCTCAGCTGCATGCATTAATGGTAGACAGCATGTGGGTGTATGTACATACTGTGAAATGACCCAAGATCTCACTAAAGGGACGCAGATCTCCAGAATCGATTCATCCCACATATTGGAAACTTTGTACCTTCTGACCAACGACTCCTATCCCCCCACACCCAGGATTCTACCCTTGTATCCTGAATCTGACTTGTGAGAATTGCTACCGTGGTTTTTCATTTAACCTTTCAAAGCTCCAAACGTTAGAGAGACTCTGTCAAAATAAAATCTCAGGGAACCATTTTTTTCTTTTATCTCATTTCCTGCTTCCCTTTCTCCTCTCCATTTCCACCGAGCAGGATTTCAGCCCTGAGCTAAGGAGGAGGAACACACTGGGGAAAAATCACAGACAAATAACACAAATAAAGAGAAAGACAGTTCGCTTTGAGTCTGAGGCCTTCAAACCCGGGGTGGGCTTACAGCATGGGAGGTTGGGAGATTTGAGCAGGGTATGAGGAGGCCCACAGGATGGGCAGAGGAGAGGGAGAGAAGAGAGTGTGACTGTGGGTAGCCTGGGAAGAGTCTTTCTGGCCCTGCTCTTGGGGGCAGGGTCCTGGGCAGGGACCAAGAGGCCAGCCCTGAATCTATGGTATGAATGTGTCCCCCCAAACTTCCCAAGTCAGAAGCTAATGCCCGCATTTACATGTTATTGGGTTTGGAGGCAGGGCCTACAAGGTCGCTGGGGTAAGCTGAGGTCAGCAGGGTGGTGCCCCTGTGACGGGATTAGTGCCCTTATAAGGAGAAGAGACATCTGAGCTGCAGCTGTGCTTCCAAACCTCGAGCTGGCCCACGGTTTGATAACACAGCAGAAAGCCCTCCCTGGGGCTGGAGTCTTAATCTTTGACTTCTCAGCCTCCAGAGCTGTGAGAACCAAACTCCACTCTACACATTTCCCAGTCTCAGGCATTGCATTACAGCAGTAGAAGTGGACAAGGACAGCTATGGGGCGGACACTGCAGACAGTGAGCTACACAGTGGCTGAGGTGGGTTCCAGCCATCCAGGATGCTCAAGGACTCAGAGATGGACTCCACCACTCCAGACCTTTGTCATCACCACTGGGTCAAGATTTGGAGAGTGAGCGATCACAAAGGGAGAAAGGGGACATTGCTGGACATCCAGGCAGAGTCCAGTCTATGGCTTCTGCTTCAGACCAGTGGCAGCTGCTTCCTGGGACTTTGAGCTCCATGGAGAGATGGAGACACAGCCCTCTGGGGCGTGGGTGATGGCAGCTCCCCTCCCAGGTTGGGAGCTGAGGCTTCAGCCAAGACCACAGGACCCTGGCTGACCCCCTGGTGCCTGGGAACCTGAGAGCTGCCCCCGCTAAGTGCACCCCACTCTAAGGGGCAAGGGCTGTCCCTGGACACAGACTTGGGGCAAGCGCCTGGGTAGTGTTGTACGTGGGAGTGTCTGTGCCTGCTGGTGCATCTGTGCACACACATGGGTGCACTACACAGAGACGGAGATGGAAAGGCACTGCATGATCAACCTTGCAGAGCAGCCCAGGACCCAGCCCTCCTGGGGACGGGCCTTTCAGCGTGCACACAGAGGTTAGTGATCCCGAGGCCAGCAGTGTAGGACACAGATGTGATCGGTGACAAGGACCCAAGGCCTTCAAAGTGGGCAGCACTTGCAAGCCTGGTCATGGGAGTGTGCCCAGCTGGAAGCAGGGAGAGGGAGGGCAGAGAAAGAGGGTGGAAGGGGTCCGTGCCAGGCGTCCTGGGCATGCAGGGAGGGCTACGGGGTAAGGAGAGGGCAGTGTGCATTCTGGGAATGATGGGCTTGGGCAGAAATGCTTCTAAGATCGCCACCTTTTGCTACACACACACACATACACACACACACAGCACACGGGCATACTAACTCTCCTTTTGGTCTGTTTGTCTCTACATTGTCCGACCCTCACTCCAATTTCCCGTCCTTCAGGAGCCGCCTGGTGCCAGAAATCTGAGAAGGAAACTCAGGGAGCCAGGCTGAGTCTTCCAGATCATTTCCCTCTCTCCTTTTCACCTGTTTGTACTATAAAAGTTCATGGAATGATGTCCTGCTGAAAAGAAAGTAACCCATGCTTGGTGCCGGAGGAAAGATGAACATCACCAGCCCCGTTCGTCTTTGGGAAATAATTTGTAACTAAGACGGAAAAGTGTTTCCAGATTTTCTCTTTCGAACCACCACGCTGGGAGGCAGGCTGCCTTCTGAGCACCGCGCCCCCTCTCCGTTTCTGAGGCCGTGTGGGAGTCGTCGGGAGCTCTGCGGCTGGGTTCTTCGGCACCGGCACTGAGAAGCCTAGTTCTGATCCAGTGGAGAGAACTTCTTCAGCCTTCTCGGCCCCTGCTCCCTGCCCTGTGGGTCACCCATCCATGGGACAGCTTTCCTGCCGGCTGGAGGAACATTGTTCACTCCCTCCTTCATGGAAATAGTGGCCAGAGCAGGGTGACAAGGACACAAATCCTTCCTCCGAGCCAGCAGCCAATAAGCAGATCACAAAGGGCGCTGCTCACAGATGCCCCTTGGAACCGTCCGGCCATCGAGTCCCCAGCTTGCCTGGTGGGCACTGCCTCATCAGATGCTAGATGCCCACCCATGTTTATGGCCAAGGAAGCCTCTGCCTGGGTTTGCCAGTGTCCGCCTTTCTCCACGCTGTCTCGGCCTCCTCCTCCTCCGGGGAAGGGGAGCTGTCCGAGCCCCTGGGGAAGGGAAGGCTGTCCTGCAGGCCTCTCCAACGGTCTGCACTTGGGAGGTCTTACATCCCATTCCTCACTGCCACCAGCATTCACCGATGCGTACACGGTGATGTACGGGTGACATGGGGTTCGTCTGTCTCCTGGGGTTCCCAGACTGAGGGGCTCTGGGAGGCAGAGTGAACCAACCCAAAGTTCATTGATGCAGAAAGGAACCAAGCAAAAGACATCAGATCCACATGCTCCACCTCAGAAGCACTGGGGTCCCTCCGTGCTGCCTTTCACACGATGTGGTCAGGAAGGAGCAACTACTTCCACAGAGGTGAAGGTCCACGATTGGATGAAATAGTATTTTAGAGCGATCGAAGCCATTTTATTTCCTTAAAATCCCTTTATTTTATTTTCCCTTAAGATGCACGGTGATCATTTTCTGCGCCCAGCGGGCTTCCTCCTTGGCCCCAGTCTCCGGCCTCCCCTGTGCCTGGCGGGATGACACGGGAGGGAGTTGCAGCTGCATGCGTGGGCTCTTTGCAGGCACCATGGGTGTGTGCTTTTCTGCTTCATGTGTTTGGCCTCTGCGTGGACATTTCCATCCGCCCAGGGTCTGCATCACCCCGTTCCACAGAGAGAAAGAAACCAGCGCCTGGACCTGCTGAGTTCAGTGCTCACTCTGTGTAGCCAGGGACGACTTCTCAGCTAAGGCCTTGGTCCGGGGTCCCCCAAAGACAGACTGGTCACCAGGACTTGGACATGGGGGTTACTTGGGGCTGGGAGTAGGGACAGTGTGGTGGAGAGGCTTGGGGACCCAGCTGACCCAGGCCCCACCACCCTGTCCCCGCGTGGGCCCTGTGGACAGCCTGGGCAGTCACTGAGGCACGGGCTTCCTGCCGTCCCTCCAATGGGAGGAGAGCAGGGTCCTAACCGGTAGCGCTCATCCCTCATTGTTGGGGGGCTTATTTTAGGGGTGTTGGACCCCCAGGATTTCTGTGGGCTGAGCAGGCCCACAGAAGTGGAGATGGTTTAAGTAAGTGTTCTTTTGCTTGTAAAGGTGTCATAACTTTCGTCTGTAAATAAACTGACAACAGGCACACTAGCAGGAAACACAACGTGCCTGTCAGCAGGCCGAAACCCTGGAAGCTGACACTAAGTGTGAGCCTCGGAGGAGGACAGCCAGGGGCTGCTGATGGGGATGAGCAGGGAGGAGGTCTGCATCAGCAGAGGGAGGCAGCGGGACAGGAGGCCCTGGAAGGAGGGGGTGCTGCGTGCAGGGCTGTCCCGTTTCAGATGCGCCTCCCGGGTAACAGCCCTGCGAGGTCAGCTCTGTCAGGGCCAGGCGTCAGGTCCCAGATCCTTCTTCTAGGCGTAGATCCTTCCTCAGCAGACAGGAAAGCCGCCTCTGTCCCGGCTTGCTTACTTCGGTGATGCAGATAGACAGATTTCATTTTACAAAAGGGCAACCTTTCAGCACTAATCCTGTCTGCAGTTTTCTCTGTACCGCTATCCCAAAACAGGCCAAAGAAATCTATTCCAAGGTCCCACACTGCAGCCTGGCGGGCAGAGCAGCAGCGAGATGCAGGTGAGGTGTCAGTGGCCAGCGGTGAGGGACGCATGGGCGGTCGGAGGCCGCAGCTCCCACGGTCCGGTCTTCCGAGCCAGCTTCCCGGTCCTCCACAGTCAAAGAAGGAGAAGCAAACCCTCCAGACTGAGAAAGGAGACCGCAGGGCTGCTTTCCGCCTCCCCTTCCTTGTTACTTCAAGGTCCTGGCCTGTTACCACCTCAGCCCCCTTGCACGGAGGATGCTCTCCCTGGGGACAGAGGGACCAGCGGGTGGGAAGAGTCGGAAACCAGAAAGAGGCGGCGTTTCCTGTTGGCCCGGCCGAGGGTTGGAATTAACGTGAAAACGGACGGAATCCAAAGAAGAGAAACTGGAGCTGGTGAAATTCAAAATAGGATCCACAGGCCTGGGGCTCTCTCCCAGGACAGGGGTAGCTGTGAGAGAGGAGCCGCCTAACCTGACTGGGCCGGGGAGGGTGACCGCGATCCCGCCGATCCCGCCGGGACGGAGCCGGACCCCCGGGACAGGACAGCGCCAGCCTCGGGCAGTACCTGCTCCCGGTGCCAGGGGGCGCCCCCAGCCCCTCACCCAGAGGCCTCAGAGAAAGGAGCCCAGAATTCCCCAAAAGACCACGCTTGGAAAGTGTCTCGTTAAGATCGTCCACCGCCCCGATTAAGGTCCGATTAGGCATCGGGTTGAGTTTAAGCAACTCTTTCCCCAGCCGAACACTCTCGGGAATCGGGGAGAATTCTGAGGCTGCAGGTTAAGGATTAGACTCGGGGTGAGTCCACCGAGGCCAGAGAAGAGGCTGCGGTTACGCTTGCGGGCCTGTCCTCCCGGGGCCTGGACGGCCCCCTTCCTTGGGGGGAGTGGCTGAGGCCTTGCCCTGCTGCGGCGGGAGTGGCCTGTGCACCCCCGTGATAAGCAGGTGCAACACTATGGTGAAAGGGCGGTAATGAAATCCGCGTGGGCAGCCACTGGGGAGGCTGAGGCAGGAAGGTCACCAG